CTTATACTCTCTGAATTTTTCAAGAGCTTCGGACTTGTGATGCATTAGGTAAAGATAATCATACCTTGAATAATCATCAATAAAACTGATGAAATATTTATACCCTCCTCGTGCTTTGACATTCATTGGACCATAGAGATCTGTGTGCACGAGTTCTAAGGTTTCTTTGGCTCTATAAATTTTTTCGGAAAACGGTCGCTTAGCCATTTTACCTTCAAGACAAGACTCACATGGAGGTAAAGAGTTGTCTTCTAACTCATTTAGAAGTCCTCTTTTAACCAATCTCTCAATCCTATTGAGATTAATGTGGCCTAGTCTTATGTGCCAAAGATAGGTATTAGGAGAAATCTTTTGTCGTTTATTTTGAGTTTCAGCTATTTTAAACATCTCGGTATTTAAAATAGCTTTTTTTTCGCTCGGTTTGAACATATATAAGTTGTTTTCTAGTTTTGTAGAACAAATATGAATACCTCTTTTGAAAATGAACAGTTCATTGATTTCAAAAGATACTTTATACAATTGTTCTAATAAACAAGAGATAGATATTAGATATCTTTTCATTTCAGGAACAAAAAGTACATTATCTAATATAATGAATCTATCTCCAAAAAACAACTTTAAATTTCTTACTGATCTTGCTCAGACAACCTCTCCTGTTCCGACCCTAAGTGTTATCTCGCCATCCGCAAGCATTCTCCAAAAGCTAGTTTCCTGGTAAAAAGAACAAATATGATTAGTGGCCCCTGAATCTAGTATCCAAGTTGAGTTATTATACTCTACTAAACATATTTCTACAACGAGTAAATCATATTTACCTTGTTGTGTCTTTTCGGCTTTCTTCTCTGCAATGTATTTTGGGCAGTTTCTCTTCCAGTGTCCGTTTTGGTTGCAATGGAAACATTTTCCTTTATCTGCTTTTTGAACATTGTGTTTTCAGTTAGTAGGAATCTTATTTTTCCCTTTACCCTTCTTCTTCATCAAAACACTATTGAAGGACCATACTTATTTTTGGAGGATGATCCTCATAGTAATTTCTTGGAGATAGCAACATTTGCTTCTCCTGTTTGTCTCTTGTTCGTTAAGAGGGATTGATAAGTCTGTAGCACATTGAGAAGAGTAGTCAAGTTATATTCTATTTTTTTCATTATCACATTTATGCGAAACTGGAAGAAGCTCTTCGAAAGAGACTCCATGATAAAACTGACTTGACTCTTCTCATCTATGACAGCTTCATTTTCTTCTACCACATTGAAATGGACCCTCATGTCAAAGACATGTTCTCTAACTGAGATCCCTTCTTTCATACGGCAGTTGTAAACGTATTTTATTGCATCATGTCTAAGGGAGAAAGCCGGTTGTCCAAAACATCCCTTTCAGAGATTCCATAATCTTTTTAGCAGTACCCATAACATTGCGTTTCTTAGCCAAAACATCAGATATGCTGGCTAAAATGTACACTCGGGCTTTATCATTTTCCTTTGACCATCTGTCATATGTATCCTGAACTATTCGGTTTGCATTTGAGCTGGGGTTTGGAGGACATTCCTTAGTTAAAAAAAACCTTAAATCATCAATTACAAGGGTTGTGTTTAGGTTTGATTTTCAAGTTGCGTAATTGTCGCCGTTTAATTTCTCAAAAGTGAGTAATTGTACTATTGAGTTTGTAATGCTATGATATAAAGAAAATTCTATTAGTGATTTGACTTAATCTTGTTTAATCCAATCATTTTTAGCAAATGTAATAATGTACCAAAAAATTATTAATTTGCAACGATACTTTAGTGAGTTAGAGCAACTACTACTGAGGAGCAGCCAATCACTCATTCACTAAACCAAGACATTCTTGACTTAAACGATAATCCCAGAATAACTCTTGTTCCTATAGTGTTTTTAGTTATCGCTATTTTGGTCAAGAATATACTAACTCTTAGTCATTCTTCGTAAGTGTGACCCGCCAGTTTCAGACCTCAGAGATCAGTCCCAACAATGCTATCGATTGAAAAAGCCAAAGTTGGGAATGGACCTAAGAAATCCTATCCATTTCTGGAGTTTGCGTTGTTTTGACTCCCATGTTACAACCCTTCGAATGGGTAGTTGCTCTAGGGCAACATGCAGGTGGAACATGGGAATCTCACAGTGCTACCTAGTGGTGGAGACCATAGGACGTGTTGATATACTTTCTTCTCCCACTTACTATAAATACTTTCTCTATTCACCTTGTTATTGACTCATGCAAATACCTTCCAAATGGAGGACGCTCCCAGGGCGACACGAGATCGAGCATGAATCTCACGGTGTGAATTTTTCAGAGAGCGTGAAAGGAAAACGATGTATCTCATATACCTTTTTCCTCCCACTATGTATTTTAGACGGTTGGGTATACTCATTACTTATGTATATTCCGGCTAATTGAATATAACTTAAGTCTAGGTGAGTTTTCTAAAACTTAGATCACACAAGCATGCTCATAAAACTGAGCTAACTAAGCTCAAGTACTGATCTGATCTCCAGGTAGTACGTGTTCCGTAAACCGTCAACTTATGTACCTCCAGCCTTAGACAAGATCGTGCCATGTGAGCTTTCTTAAAATTGTAATTTTATAAGACACGACCTATTTTAACTATTAAAATTGATCGTGCTCGGTTCTTAACCCTAAGTGAGCATGCACTTATCTTTATTATAGATTTTAACGTCTATCTTGATATATGACGTTGAAAATAACCTATAACATGCATCTAGCATGCTTTATATTACAATTACATAATCATCCATTCCATGCAATAATATAACAATTTATATCTATCACTCATGGAACTCTAAACATGCATACTATATATTATAACATACTTGGAATGCATGAAACATGCTTAGCCTATGGTGGGATTTTAAATCTATATGACATACTCTATGCATATACATTTTCTATTTAATTAAAACATACATTCATAATGCATAATTCATTAAACACACTAAAGTGGATTGGTTTTGGCATTTTAAAGCAAGCAATTAACTAAATTATTACATAAATAATTAAAAATAACTTGAACCGCTCCCGAGGATCACGAGCTGGGAGAACCAACCCTTAAAAACGTTGAACCGAACCCCAAAGGCAGAAAAAACACTCGAACTGCCTCTTCCATCTTCTTCTTTGGTTCAGCTTGCTATCTCTTCAATTTTCGATCAATTACAACCTAAAATGGACTCTAATGACTTCATAAAAATTACAGACCTTTCTTCACTCATTAATGCTCATAGACATTAGGCTTGTTACAAGAATTGCATCAAATGGACGCATAAAAAAATGCAAAAACCAAAAACATCCACTTTAGAAACCACAATATTTCATTCATGAAATAGTACCCACCATGCTCAAATTAATGTAAATAAAGTGCCTAAAATCATGCTCTAATACTAATTGATGGTGTAATAGAACACATGCGGAAGCAATTTGGATCTTAGGCACTCTAAGTACATCAATTATAGTAAATTAGCTAGCATGTTCAAAAACATTAAAACTAAATGAGTTTGAATACTAACCTTTTGTCGCTCAAGTTTCTTTTTCCTCACAAACCAGTTTCGAACCTCCAGTAGTGTCTTCTCCACTATAATCTGACCTTAAAACGAGATTGTGGAATCCGGTGAGTGACTAAACTTGGGAGGGATTTAGCATATATGAAAAGAGAATTTGTGAGATTTTTTTTTTCAAGGTTTTTCCCTTGGAAGAACTTCCATATAATATGATCACTCTATTTATAGAGTCATGTTTGCATGTTCATGCAAATTTGAGATCATCAAATTTTTACTCTTAAAATTTCTTTCAAATGTTTGGGATGATGTGGCAAGCATGCAAGTTTGAGTTCACCAAATTTTGACACTCAAAATTCCACTAAAATTTGTGGGGTTTATTTTACAAGCATGCAAGTTTGGTTAAACCAAATTTTGATACCTCAAAATTCTACTAACTCAAACATGGATTTTTCCATTAAATGAAGTCAACATTTTGACTTTCTTCATTTTGAATTATTAATTTTAAATTAAAGTAATATTAAATGATTAATTAAACTATTTAATTAATATTTAATATTAATTCAATTGCAAATCTCAATTAAGTCCGACACATTTGATTAAGATATTTAAATCTTATTTAAATATCTCAGATTCTCTCTTTTTGTTTAATTCATAAATAAAACAAAGATGCGGTTAAGTATATCGTATATATGTAGTGCATTCTCCCTATTTTGAATTTGAACACTTCGAACTTACTCGTCACATTGTTCTATGGTTTAGTCCGATATGAGCTAACAGAGGGACCTAATGGACCTATAGATCATGGGCTCCAACGATCCAAGATTAACCGGTTAAACACATTAACCTTGTTAACCAACATTCGTTAACTACTGGGACATTCCACTATAGCCTAGTAGTTGCACTCCCCTCACTATAGATATATTTCTGTCCATTTGATATAACCATGATTAGTAAGTCGATCCTTCACAGGTTGTTCGTAACTAGAGCTGGGCCAATTTACCGTTTTACCCCTAAAATTACTTTTTGTTCCTTATGTCTCACTGATCCTCTAATAAGCAATTTGTTTGTGGTCTAACCAGTAAACCGAATCCTTCTCAGGCCAATGAGATGGTGGGACCCCTTGTTCAAGACTTGGAGTCAGTGCTTAATGGAACGACCTCTCTTCTATCCCTAAAAGTGGATAGGAGTGAATTCCATCTTGCACCCCACGTCCCTAGTTATTCACCCAGGCTAACCCCTGAAATGAGAGGCCTATTGAGTCGACGAACTTGAGTCACTCTCACCCATGTAAATCTAAGAATAATTCCAAATAAACAGGAGTTCATAGTTAGGTCAGGATTAAAATCGAGTTACCTAAGTCATCGAATGAAAAGAAAATCAGTCTCAACAGTAAGCGACATTATAAAGTGAGAGTGATTTTCTTCATGGTCCGATCTTATGCAATACTCATTCCATAGGACGCCCCCACTCACATGTCTCCGCATGTACAATTTAGTGATCATATTGTTTATGTCATATACAAAAGTGGGCCGCATTCATAGTGTCCCATTGATACGGTACTCAGCCTTATCCTTGTACTATAGATCATTTTGTCTATATACTTGAACTTGATCCACTCTTATGTCAATACATATAGTTCAGGTAATCATACTATAGTTAGAGTGTTCTTATTTTATTAGATTTAAGATTAATAATCGTAAAGTTCACTTTATTCAATAACAATCTTTACTGAATAAACAACAATAATAACTTTATTGAAAATAGAATATGTTTTTGTTTACAAACTATGAGTTTTAGGACATAAAACCCAACAGGTGGAATCTTCCCCAATAAAGTCTGAAGTTGGGACAAAGTTTTAAGACAAGAATCGAGTGATGAGAATTCCTAAAACTCGAGTTTGAAGCTCTTAGATTATGAGTTTTTCTTTCACGGATTTCTTCCAAATTCGAGTGCTATGGTTAAGCATTTTCCTTCCTACCAACACCTACATATTTCATATGGGATTTACAGCAAGTTTCGTTAAGGAATCAGGCACTTAAAAGTTTTATAATTGGCTGCCCAACAAAAGGTTTCTAGATATACTCAGGCGAGAAAAATGTTTTCCGACGAACTTTGGAAGGTTATAACCTGTGCTATAGACCACGAAAAGATATGAACTTTGTTTCTACTTCTTGCTTGAAACTTCATCTAAAGGTTTCGTGGAACAATCGAATCCATTAGATGTCTATATATAGCTGTAAGAAGGTAAAAGTAGAGGGGTCTTATAAGAAAAAATCGAAATTTTTGTAGCTACCAAGGAAAAAGATGAAGTCCAAAGTCAAAGGTCAAACTTTGACCAATAAAAGTCAAAGATAGGTATATGTTGACCTTCCCTCGGCTTTCTCAATTTTAACCTCCTTCCTGATCCGTTCTCAAGAAAATCTTTATGGTTCTAGAAACTAGACAAAATAAGAAGTTCGTGGAAGGAATTTTGAGATAATTCGGATACTAGAAGCTCAAGAACGGAAATC